CTTAGCCTTAACAGCACGTAACCTTAGATATCGAAGTTGTAGATGTACTTTGATACGCTCTTCCTCCAGGCATGTGAAGTTGTATCCAATCTACAATAACCTAAAAACCCGTAAAAGCAGAACGGAGCAATACATCAGAAAGAAAATGCTAACTTCTAGATACGGCTCGAGTTCGGTTTCAAACTGCGAGGGCGTAAATCGGAGAGCAACCAACTGTGCAAGGACTTCGCTGCGGATGTTTGCTCGCCATATGTGAAGCAGCCAATCACGAGAGACAGTGCGAGGAGTTGGACAACGAAGAGCTGCCTAGAAGAGCGCTTGTGAGATTTCCCTGCATAGCAACATACAGTAATATCCAGTGAGATGAGTGACACAGAACAATTTTCTTCAAATAACACAGAAATATGCCTCTCTTATTGTTTAACAATACTATTGCATTACAGGAAGTGGAGCAATTCCGAAACCTATCAAAAAGAAGGGAAAAAGAATGAGGTTGCCAATAAAAGGTGATTACATTTAACTCAAATCAGAGTGAAAATCATTGCCTCTGAAAGAAGATCAGTCAAGGTGCGGATAATCAAGCCATTTCCAACTAGTCGGCTAGATTTCTAATGGGCTTCGTCAAATGAAAACTATTTTCTGATCTATAGAAGAGAAGAGGTAAAAAAGTGTTTAAGATAAAATGCAATTCTAAAAATGCTGGAAAAAGGTACCTGGAACATTTCGTGGACAATATTGCCTATAAGCATAGCTTTGTTAGCTTCAACAGGACCGCGAAAACGTTCGTTGAGGATGACCTGGTTTCAAATGAGTTAGAATTATCGACGAAAGAACTTGGAGCAAACGAATAAAGCGAGAGAACAAACCTTACGTGGGCACCATGTAGCCCCAGCTATGCTTGTGCAGGGCACAAGTGTGTCTGGAGCAACAATCATAACGCCATGCTCGTTTGAAACCAGCCAATCCTAATAGCGAGCGTTTGCGAAAAAGTGAGTCAAGGTACGCTGCTACGTAATAGGAAAAATTGTAACGCTCACTGAATCTCCCACCAAGGTTTCGCACCCAATGCAGTGACACGCTGATCCGAGTGTTTGGTTCAACGTTTGTCTCAGCCCAGTGATCCTACAACAAGAGCAGTTACACTGATATACTCAGCAAACGTAAAACTACGTCAACAAAGGCTTCCGAACGATAAAGGCAAGTGAAAGTTGAGAAGTTTCAATTACCTGTAGATAAACTATTGACTGTTGGCCATTATCCGTTACGCACAGCAGATCCACCAAGCCTTCCTCGTTTTTAACTTCACAACTGTGAGGAGTACTTTCACTTTTTGAGTCAGTTAGCGAAGGAAATCCATCAACACCGCTATCTCAAAAGAAGGAAGTGAGCAAGAATAGGAAAAGCAGCGATCCAGAGGTAATGGGTAGTTCTCACTTACCAGTAAGACGCTCTTCAGTGAGACTTGTCCTATATTTCTCAGTCTCATAAGATGAAGAGGCAGATGGAACCTCTTTTCTAGCAACACGATATAACATCCGAGAGAGAAAAGCGGGCAGAGCGAATATAACAACTCACTAGGTGAAATCTACCAGTAGGAACGGCAATGATTACGGATGACTCTGAATCAAAAATGATTCTCGCTTACTGTCATCGATAAACGAATTTGCAAACGAAAATCATTGAAAACGATTAAGGAACTGATATTAAGGTCCAGTATTGTGTGAAATTTTGAAATGCACAGCACGGCTATAATCGCACACACTCACTAAGTATGACGGGATCATCAAAGGAGTCGTTCAAATCCGAATTTTCTTTTTCAGCAACATGGTGCACTAGGGAACCTTGAGGACAGGCTGGTGCTGAAAGTTAGTGAAATTGTACAGCTGTGATGAGAACTACCATAACCTTAAGAGCTGTTCAAGATCGCAAAGTTTCGGAAGATTCGAACAACCTTCTACTACACACTGAGCAAAATTACAGACCGTTTTGATGGGTGATTCATCCCAGTCGGAAAAATCTGAGTGAACAGCTGCTTCCTTTTTTGGTAGCCTAAAACATCGAAATAATAAAAAAAAACCGTAAATCTGGTCATTAAAAGCACTACAACCGTTTTTCTTATTGGCAAATTTGCCATGTACGATGTAAATTACCTCTTCAACGGTGTCGATTGCTTGCTGTCTGCAGCAGCCTCGAACAACATCCAATTTCTTCATCTTTTTCGTTGGTTCTGTTCCATTGGATTGAGCGTTGCTTTTTTCATGACTGAATAGAGGACGCTTTTGCGTTGGAAGCCCCTGAAAAGAACAATACGCTGACGGTACATCATCGGTGGGATGAAACAGTTGCGGTTGAAAGTTTTGATGTGTGGCGCATCTCAAAAGGCCAAACTAACACGGAGGAGCTTGAAAGAAAAAGAGCTTTTCAGGTTTCTCTTTACTAATTGGTAATCGAACGCGTGTGTGTGTCTACGGCAAGATCTTGCTGAGATGGGATGAAAACGAAAACAGTTTTTGTGAGGGAATTACAGTCTTCATGCTGAATGCACGACATTGTATGGAAGTTGATGATATCTACAACAACTAAATTATTTCCAAGACATATTTAGCCTGCGAGCGAGTCTCACTGAGAGGGAAACATTGTGAAGTAGCCGTACAATCCTCATCTAGGCCGTCTAAACGTCCTAACCCTCTTGAAATGATATCTACTAAAAAAAGGAAAAATTTCCGGTCTAAACCAGATCAGTATTGGGGGTTCAACGGGAAAAGGGATAGGCATTAGGTGCCATACTTCGGGCCGATTATGCAGCAGCTATATTCGTTGCAAGGGAAATATGCTAAAACGGTGGGTGCGGAAGCGGTCCACGTTCCCATCGCATTCTCTCCCGTGTTGATGGCATGAAAAGGGTGTTTATCACTTCTCCTCCTTAGTTAAGTTACTTCGGATTAGGATACCTCCTTTCTGCTAGTAACAACCCTAATTCCAAGCCTAAGCCTAACCCTGGGCTTATGCATAACAATAGTAACTCCAAGCCTGGGACTAAGAATATGCCTAACTTGGGGCTTCAATAAACGCGCAGCGTCTAGTGGACCTGACGCTAAAAGAGAGCCTGCCATCCCCTCATGAAAAGGAAGTTATTTTTTTTTCATTTTCACTGTATTATAACTTCAGTCCGGTACCATTCGTACCTAGTAAGTAGCTGCCCTCACCCCCCACCCCCTAGACTGCCTACACTCCCCCTGGCGCACAGGTTTCTCGATGTACGGGACCCCGTGAGCCAGGGGGTGTGAAGGCAGTCTAGGGGTGGGGGGTGAGGGCAGCTACTTACTAGGTACGAATGGTACCGGACTGAAGTTATAATACAGTATGAAAAGCCGTAAAATGGTACAATATGAACAAGTATGTGGGTTTTGATATCAAGAACTGCAGTAAGAGGCTAGTCTCTAATGCCCTAACTTTAAAGGATAGTGTCTCGGCTGTTTTCGTTACAAGCTATTCTTTCGAGTGCAGATCATTTTCGAGAAGCACAGTATATAAGTTTTCGTCTGTACAGGTACGACAGATATTGAAGTAAACACTGCGACACAAATACGTCCATTTGGAAATAGCAGTTCGTGGTCAGATTATATTAAATGTAAAGGAACTATGACCAAATCACCTTCTTTTGCACATTATTCGTGATTCCTCGTAGCTTTCCATTGCAGTTCTTCATGTATTGTATTAAGGAAGGCTGCTGTAAAATGTCAAGAAAAACCACTCATAAGAGAAAACATCCAGACCCTGGAAACTTGGAATAATTTCCATAACGAACTGTAAGAAATTGTTTACAGATGTCTGTCAACTTTTGCTTATACACAATATGGACATCGGGGAACTTCTTCCACTGTTTGTGAAGGCAAATTTCGAAAATAAAAACCAAAACTGGATCGAAAACAACACTTTAGGTGCTTCTTCCAGATTTCGGTTTGAATTATTCACTTTCGCGCTCTCATACCGTACCGTGGCGTCGGAGCGCCGAATCTGTTGCTCTGATGCAGAGAGAAAAGCAGGACGGGAATTACCATTCCTAGGTGCATTTTTAGATATTCTCTTATTGAACGCTTTCTGTACAAATCTGTGTAGCGTTGTGTTGCACTCCCCTCAAAATGCTTCCGTAAATCGATTACGGAAGTTCGTACAAATTCGAGTTTTTGAAGGGGAAGGAGCTCTAGGGTGGCTGAAAAACGAGTTTGGTGGTTTAAAAAATGGAACTGAATAAGTATAACTTTTTCGGAGGTTGCACAATAGAAAAGAAGTCACCAAAGGGTTCGGCCTGGTGACAGTTATCCAATTTTTTGCAGGGGGGCTCTCTGCTATCAGGGACTAATCGTAAAGTGAGAATCATAATGTGATGATTGTCGTAGTTGTGGAAGTTTTAAAGAAGGAATTCACGATTAGAATGAAGGTCGAAGAAGGAGCAATTCACCTAGTTGGGAGACAGGCGGACCTCCTGAGGGTGCGGATTGACACGCAATTGGCAGCGAAAGATTTGACCTCGCGATCTAGCATGGCTCACTCTTGGCGCACTTTGGCGCGGTACGCCCACCGACATAGCAGAGAGAGCGTTAGCAATGAAGAGAGGTTGCTTTTCCCATCGTTAATTTATCTTTTAAGTGGGGCTCTGCACGTCCTCCCCCCCCCAACCGGTACGATTGGTCTGAAGTCCTGCTCTCAAATGGTGGTACCAAAGTGAAAAGAGAGCGGTGCCGGATGAAGGTGTTCCTCAATTCTGCATTGCTCACCTTTTTCAGTGATGGGGAGGTATTCATGGTCTTGAAAAAGTAGAACGACAGAAAAGTATATTTCAAATTAGCCACAATTCAGAAATGACAAAAACTGCATTTCTAAATGGACACAATTCGAATACCATCGAATCCAGATCCACTGAAAGTATTTGTGGCGAAGACTTCGAAAATAAGGACATCTTTTCACAAGGCATAAAATAGAGCAGCAACAATGATCCCGAACTTTTTCAAGTTTTCAAATGGTCCCTTGAGCCAAGAGAAGCTATCGAAGAAACACTACAATACTGAACACTCTGCAGAACCCTGCACAAAGCGAAATTGGCGCGAAGTTCTTGCCGGCCAAGCTGCTCGGAGATGGTTGCATTTGGGGAGAGGCCACCTAATTCTCTCTACTTAAATTCACCCAAGCACCTGCTTCTAATATCATAAAATATCGATGGAATCAAGCAACCACTCCAGGATGCCTAGGATGCACTCTATTCCGCCTATCTACACACCGTGGTCAGCACATTCTTCTAAATTCTTCGCTCTTTTCCAAAAGTAGATAAAGTTTGCCCCTCTATGTTTAATTTTGATACAATTCGCACAGATCCAATTTCAAACTGATTTTGGGTGAAAATGTAGTTCGAGGGGGCCATTCCATTGTACTCTACAATATCTAAGCTAAGGATATTAGCGCTCATGATACGTTATCGACTCATTTTGAACATGCTTCTGATAAGTATCGGTGTAATGTGGAAGAACCCTGGGATGCTTTCACATTTCGCCTGTCATGGCCCAAAGAAACGGTCCTGGACCAGGAGAATGGACATTCCCCTAGCCTAAGGGTGAGAGGAGCTCCAGGGTGGATGACCAGGTGCAGACAAAGTGGATGGGATGTGGGCAGGTAGTGTGGAATGTAGGACATCCACCGGTCCTTATCAAAAGTACACCGCAAATGAGTCGTTTACTTATTATCTTATCCGTTGTTCGATAGCCCAAAGAACTGCTCTCTAGTGCTAAGGATAAGATAGCAAGGAGTGGCCCCCTCGAACTACATTTTCACCCTGATTTTGTTTTTGTAGAATTCAACATGTGAGAGAAAAATGTGGAGAACGTTTTATTTCGTTTCGAACGATTCAAACGCTTGACAAACTACTACAATCTGACTAGACTTTTCCCAGTTCAAGAAGATAGGCGAGAAGCGTCTTCACTCCTTGCACGTAGTTCACTTTGTTTATCTTCTCATTTTGCGAATGCGCCATGTCATCGGCGGCACCGAAGTGGAAGCAGCAGTACGCTTTTGCCCGTCATTCCTGAAACAAAGTCAGCAGTGAATAATTAGGACAAAAATACGGAGCCTGAATCATAGGACACAACATTATGTGTCACAGAAGCATCGACGTTGAAGAAGGGAAGAAATGAAGGTGGGCAGGAGTTCTAAGCTTCTCGTTGAACTGAGACTACACAATAAGGTCGGCGGATGAAGAAAGGGACATCCACCTAGTCAAAAGGCGAGTGGTTCCCTGACCATAAGAGTGCGGACTGATGCGAGTTCCGCAGCAAAGGGCCTAGAGAGGCTGCTTGCGCCCCTACCGATGGCTACCTTTCTTCCATCTTAGCGTGGTTCACACAGCAGAAGGAGTGGTGTAATAGGGGAGCACATGATGAGGCTTGTATCAGGTGGGAATCACTTGACGATGAAGTTCCATTCTCTGATTTCTGTGCGGTTTCTTATGCGTTTTTGCACTTGCCCCGCACATTTACTACTAATGCTCTTGATTTCATAGGCGGCTCATCTGCAATCTTTTAAGGCTAACACTCCCTTCGATACAATAGCATGGGTTGAAGCCGCCCACGAGTGGCGCATGTGGCCCTTATGCGGATTGGAAGGCTAGCGCACAATTGTCGATCAGCTAGGAAACTCGATCCATTTCCAGTATCGCTTTAGGACGCTACTTGAACATCATGTTCGTACCCTACATTGTTCACGAGCAAAATATTGCAAAATTTGATCGTGAGCTTGCGATTACTAACAATCTAATTCGAGGATTCATCGGAGAGTGTCCTTATCAGCCAGGTGAATAACGGTCGAGAATTAACCGAATCGTACTTTGCTGTGCGAGAGGGGAGGCCGATAGGGAATGTAGCGGTAGGCACGAGGTGCGCGGTGTGAGAGTGCATATTGCACCGAGAGTAAAGAATCAGGCGAAAAATTGCGACGTGCGTTGAGGAATCTCAGCAATACTCATCTTGCTCAGCCCTGCACATAAAACAATGATACCAAACAGGAGGGCTTATTTTCGGCTTATCTTGCGTAACTTTTTAATATGCAATATGTCAATATAATGGCTGGAAATACATGTCTTCAAACAACGTTACCTGGAATGTAAGCGTGATCGGAATGCTGCAACCTTCACGGATGTAGTCAGGATCGACACCGTGCACTGAAAAAGAAAATTCAGATAAGTCCTGATAACATGAAAAGTCGTCAGCCCCCTTTCGTTATCAGTGGAAACTTACATTTCAATTGCTCTGGCAGCAAGCTTGAAGTTTGCGTTCGTTAGTGTCAGCAGCCATGGAAGAGCGTCGTGACCGACGCCAGGTCTGAAAATAGGTTAGTGATATCTCCGAGTTGGAAGCGTAGAAGAGTGAGTTCTCGGAATCTTACGTGAATGTGTTCGGTGATCCTCTCTTCTTCCAGAGTTCATTCAATAGCGATCAACCATCTTTGTTACCTGGCGATTTCTTTCTTGGCACTTTAACAGTAAAACTGGAGGGTTTATTGTGCTTCGGATCCTGTCTAAGCCAAGGCTTTGCTGCTATCGCTGTAATGCTGTGTCTTCCTTAAGTCCCCGAAAGATGCGAGGATCTCAACGTTGGCAACAGGTATTGCCTGTTGAATGCAGAATAAACAATAACTCTCTTTACACTCATGAAGTGCGTGAACGACTGGATTCCAGAGGAACCGAATGTAGAATCATTGAATACCTTTTTAAAAAGCCTCCTCATTCAAGTCTAAATCGATATTTCCCACAATGGATGAAAATTTTGAGAAAGATGGTTTCTTCTGTGGAAGAACGAGTATACTCTCTATTATTCATTGATCAACACTTTTTGAAATAGAGTTTCGTTTTCGGATCCTCACTGAAATCACAGAACAAAGCGGACAATGAATGATTTGATGAGGTTCAGCGCAGGGGGAGAGGGGGGTGTGGGGTGGGTGGGTGGGGTGAAGTCTGGCAGAAGTGAAAACGCAAGATATGTGCGTTTGACATCATTAAAATTAGCCCAGACGGAACAAATTCTTTCAGTGCCGTTATGCACTCACTAGCCGGCATCTATTTTGTTGTCTTACACTAACGGACGGAGCTGGTGCAGTGGTAAGCGTGCCATTTCCCTCGCGCGGTTTTCGTGGGTTCCGGATCGTTTGTCACACCAACTAAATCTTCCCTCTGGAGTCAACCAGTTGGTATTGGACTCGTCTGGGAGAACAAAAAACGCTGGTTTCCTTAGAGACCAATTCGCAAGCCGATAACACTACAATTTCGAATAACAGTAGAATGCATGGCGCATCCAAATTACAGAATGATCGACGTCACTTGCTTTATACATCCTTTATAATGTTGGCAAAATGCAGAAATTAGTGCAGTGCTCACCTTTTCAGGTTTCATGTGCGGAACAACTCTGATGGAGAATTTCCCGATAACTTTCGATGGGATGACCGTTTTCTCACCAGCTCCAGAGAAGGCACCTTCGATACCATGAATAGAAAGGCTGTAAGATGAGGATTTGGATGAGTGCTCAATCAGCCTTGATTTCTGACTTCTAAACTTACCACGGCTCTCTCCAACGTCTTATGAGCAGTGTTTTCTTGTCTTCCGTTGGCAACTTCTTTGCTCCCACGCTTTCACGGAACTCTTTCACGCTGAAGTCGATGGTTTCATAGAGATGGTGCTCTTCTTTTGTCATGGGTGCAACATCGTCATAGATTCCTGGAAGATATGCTTGTGATTTCGCACCCCCATAGCAGCAATTCTGTATTTATCAATTCATCAGCACTTCACTGATTTGTTCAATATCGTAGTGCCTCGAAGTCTGATTGTGAGCATATTTTGCGACACTGCGCTCCAACACATCTGCGCTATTTTAGGGTAGGAGGGTGGGGAATTGTTTTTGCTCGACGGAGCGCTAACAGTTTTCGCATTTGTGTGCGGATCTTAACCAATTGAAATAACAATTATGATACATTAGCTGAGCTTACGAAAACTTACGTTAAAATTATTTGATGAGTGGGTGCTCTATTTTTGTAAGTGTGGAGTATTGATGAATTTGCAAGTGATTGTTATCAGATAAATTAAGCCCGAAGAGATAGATCAGGAATCCTTTATGTGTGGGTATTTATTAATTTCTAGCTTAGCGTATGGTATATCACTACTTAAATCTATAAAACCAGCAGTTTGTTTGTCTAGATCAGCGCTCCCCTACAGAATTCGCAATATTCCCCGAAGTTTCTTCACAATTTTTTGTCTAATGGTTTTGCCCTCTTAAAAATCCTTAGCAAGGGGGGTCAAGATGGTTTGAATTTAGGTGAGAGCGATTGAGCCGCCTCTAGTAAAGGCCAATACATCGTGTGTGGAAAACTTCACTACCAACGTATGGGCGGGCGTCCGCCCAACGAAATATTTACTCAAAAATGTGATGTTCTTGCTATCTGGACATCCCAGAGGCTAGGGAATAATTAGGGGCCTTATAGAGCACTCGCTGCTCTACAAAGAGATTATATTTACCGTTTTGCTGAACTCCACAGTGGAGTGAGCGTGCGCCCAAAATAAGAAATTTCTCTGAAAATTGATGTTCACTGCCTGGAATCCCCAGGACAAATAAAAAAATTGAAAAGCCTGTCAATACAAAAAATCGAGTTTCACCATGGGAATTTGAAATTTTCTGTTGTCCACTGTTGTCAATTGAGACATAACCCAAATCAGATCTGCTAGTGGTTCATGCCTGAAAGGAAAAAACGACTACAACTGAAAATTTCCTAGAATTACGTAAGTTAGTTCTCTGTACTACCATCGCTCCACAGAATCCATAAACTTATGTCCATGCCCAATTTTTGAAGTAGAAATGCTCTGATGACGAATGAACTCACACAACTCCGCCAAAAACTCCAGAATGCAAGTCTTGCTGTATTCCGGTCACTTCCACTTTGAACGAACATATTCCTCTGAAATCAAGCAATCTGTCAGCAGTAGTGCCGCAGTTCACCATTGATTTCTCATTGTTGCCAGAGATATGTATTTTCAGCTTATTCTTTCTGCAAACGTTTTGCGTGACCAGACTCGAACCGAGAATTAAGTGCGTGGCCTATATTAGAAAGTTCCGTCCTCATGAAACATTCGCTCTGCAGGCTAGAACTTACTTTGCCTAATCTTCTTTTCGCTAATCATTGTAATTGACTCACAGCGCACGTTAACACGAATAGAATTTAGCTCCCTTTGGTCTGACACAAAGCCTGAAATCTAAACGTCTAACCTCAGCCCGTGAGTGAGACACGGTTTTGTCGTTCCGAGCCAATAGCTGTCCGAGATGCAGGTGAAGTCTACTCCAGCAAGGAACTTGTTCTTGTTTTTCGTCAGAAGCTCCTCCAAACCAACAGATCCGCTTTCCTCCATTGCTTCGAAGCAGAACTATAATGCAGATGTGTTCGAGGGAGAACAATGAGAGTAACGACTGCTGATAGAGTTCGCACAATATACCAGCTGCAACAGCAGAAAGCGATAATCCTTAAGTTGAGCTCAGTTTTTAATCAGTATTGAACCACAAATGAACGTGAATTACTTCAATTCAAGTGGGATTCATAGTTGCTCCAGAGTGGACATCGTGTGAGGTAGCACAGACATAAGTTGGTAGTATCAAATAATTGCAATACATATAGCTGCTGCTGCTGATCCACAAGTAGGGCTTATCTTCATCAGAAATCAGCCTAGACTGCGATCAACCCCACCATTCACACGCCACCTCAACGCACCTCGCCCGCCCGCTCACGTCTAACTCAAGACGAGCACCACGACGCCCCCCCGCCACCCTTCCCACCTCGCCGCCATCGCTCTCCCCGCCTGCGCCCATACGCCCTCTTCCGCCCCGCGACGTCCTCGCTCACCCACCCTCCCGTGTAAATCGTAGAAGTGTGAGAGTGAGCGCGAATGGGCGAGAGAGAGGCGGAGCGAGCGCGATGGAGCAGCTGGGTGTGGGAGTGCGTGTGTGGGGCAAGAGGACAGGGGGTGTTACACGAACAGTCGCAGATGTCCTGTTTCTCGGCTTCCACAGTGAAGACAACAAGGGTGCTTAAGGCCCTGGTTGAAGACCAGCTCCACCTTCCTGCCCGCAAGTGCCTGTTATCCTACACACCTCTATCCATTCTGCTTCGTTAGTCTGTCCTCTATCTTCCGCACGCCTCCAATCTCCTCATTACATGCTGCCTTGGTAGAAAATGAACCTAGGCTCTAAACAGGTTCATTCGGCTCCTATCGTGTTAATTTTTTCCAAATTTTGACGACCCTCTCCCCACAAGGTTCGGACTCTGATACGACCCTTTTTTTCGACACCTCTCGGACCACCTCGACGACTCTCTACCCACACATGCATTCCTATCGACTGGTCACTTCTATTTCGCTAGACCCACTCAAACCTTACGAAGAAACTGCCTCGCCCACCTTTTTTCCTTCCAAAATGCGGCCGGACGTCGACAGCGACGGAGTACTACTATAGTCTCAACCGAAACGGCGATAAAAATTTCTTCGATAACTTCCTATAATTCTCCGTCTATGTTCCACCATCCAACATTCACCCATACTTTTTACTCCAACTTTTACCCTATCTTCCGACGACAACTCTATTTCATAGCGGGCGCCCCTCCGCGCTCACATAACGACCGCGCGCTGAAACGGCGAATTTTTCTCCCATGCGCTCCCAACTCACCTAGCCTACTACTCGTGAAAACTCCACTTTCACCACAAACTCACATGTACTTTCACGCGACTGAAGCGGATACGACCCCCCTCCTATAAACTCAACCAGGTACGACCCCCCCGTTGTTACTAGTAACAACGTAGGGTTGACCCTGCTCAAAAACCCTCATCTTTTGTAGATGAAATCAGTGAAACTGCCCTTAATGGAGCTCTCCGCCCTGCAATACCTTTTGGAATTGTACCAGCTTATGATAAGGTTGATACGGATTAAAAGCACAGCCCAAGACGACCATAGGTGGAGAAGGTAGGATAGGGCCGTAGACGAAAGTCGCAGATTTCCTGTTTTCTCTATTTCAAAGTGAGCAACGAGGGTGCTGAGACCTTGTGAAGACTGCTCCGACCGCTTGCACTTTCTTGTCCGCAGCATGCTGCTATCTGCACACTCTCATCCATTGTGCTCTCTCATCTGTCCTCTCTCCTTCACGCTCAGTCTCTCATTGCCGTGGTAGAAAAATGAACAGTATCTTCACTTCATCGTTTTAGATAAATTCTTTTCGTTTGTTTCTACAGCCGGTCCGCTTGGCGCTAATGCTTCAATTTCTTGTGCAAGAACCAAATAATCTTGATCCGGGTCGTGCCTTCGCGTTGCTCCTCTTCAAGAAGAAAAGTTACGCTTTTGACTTAGAGGTAGAGGCGAGTATAAAGGGAATTGAAAACACTGTTAATCATGCTGTTGTTTGTTGGTTTTTTCTTATCACTTTCTGCAGATAAAGCCCATGAATAAATTGCAAAAATCTACAGCAAATTCATAATCGTGATAGAAGTAAGCTCCAAGAATATTTCCATTTTTCCAGGGTTCAGAAAAACGGTCCAAAAGTGGGGAGCATAAACATTTTAGATTTCGACCTATATATCCATTGTAATTAGGTTTTTTCTCTCACCTTGACGTTGACCGGGGATATCGATCTTGTGCTTCTGGAGCATCTCGATGGCGTGCATCCAGCACAGTACCGGCCCTTTGTCATCTGAGTAGAATACATCAAAACTGCGTAAAATCTGTCCTTTTCGTTATGGAAGGAAATAAAGCCTATGCTGGGGACGAGGATGTCCAGGGTGCATGAGCCATTTTTATTTTTCTTGGCGTTCCTGCCTCTACTGGGTTTAGTCCTCGGGGATGTCCCCTATATTGGGATAGCCTAATTTATTTCTTTTTTTTTTTTTTTCTCGCCAGTAAAAATGTTGCTTAAAGGCGAAGGACATGATGGTTGCCCCCGCCGTTGGTTAGAAAGTAGACCTACTAAGAGCTCCAGCAGCGAAGAAGAAATTATTTGATACCCCCTAACACGCAAATGGACCCTTGAATTACCCGTTCATTTTCATTCTGGGCCTGTCTCGCTTATGACGAGTCCATCAGCGTAATGGCTCTACTTTCTTCTCTGCTGAAAAGGCTAGCGTGTCGCCTGCAGGACTCAGCACCAGTTGGAAGCGGGCTGAGGCACAAGACGTCTCAATTGGTAGCCACCTCGCCTGTCGATGGTGCCATGCCCTCGCTCCACGTAGCGCTATCGCAAGATAGCAAGGGGTCCGGCATGTTTTAATGCATTCAAAACCTCTAATAATAAAACATGTCCTTTTCGTTGAAAGCAGCACCAAATCGAGACCTGAAGGGAGGAGAAACACAAGGGTGTGTGAGCAATTTACATTTCCCCGGAGTTCTTATCCACTTCTCAGGCTTAGCCCCAGAAGATGCCTCCGTATCTTGCGATAGCGCTGCGAAGCCTTTGAAAGCTGATGAGTTTAAAGGACGCTTCTTCCCCCTAGCCTGGGAGAAGGATGGAACCGGCCCCTGGATCTTAGATGGCACCCACACTATTACTGATGAACAGCTATGGGCAGTAGAAGACGGTGACGGAGCAGGATGATACACCGCGTCAAGGGAACATCCGCGGCTGTAAGGACAACCTTTTTTTCACGGCGCGTTTCCGTATGCCTCTCGACTTTAATGCCGGTTTGAGCGCGTGGCGAGGCGGAAGGAGGAACGTGTCACTGCTGAATAACATTAACTCTTCACAGGGCTTCTCCATTTCTCACCTCCTTCTACTAACCATTTTGCGACCACGACGCCATCAGAGTCCAAAGTCTGTTTCGGCTCTGCTTGAAAGAGGGGGTCGCAATTTTGTGTTTCCGGGAAGAGGGCACTTTGGGGTTGAGCAAGGTTATCATGGAGGAAGGAGTTGCTAAAATGTGTTTGGATAGAGTTTTTGACGATGGTGAAGATTTCACGAAAGTACTGAGAAAAAGGGAGTCAACGGGTTAGCCGCCTCCCTCCCCTCTCCCTGCTCCAACGACCGTTGGAAGTTTTGCTGAGAAAAAAGTGGGCGGAGCTGGGCTGTGTCGACTGGTCTCCCCAATCAAGCACTATGAAAAATCGGTGAAGGGTGGTGGTCGGCATAGGGGGGGAGTGGAACTAGTGTTGGGGGAGCCTGTTTAGACGATGGTGGTGGGGAAGGTCGCATCGAGGCCCGCCTAAGCGGGGGAGGTCGCAAAATGCTCGAAAAGGGCGAACATGATGGTTGACTCTGCTACCCCCTTCCCCAACCCCAAATCCCAAGCACAACCCTGCCTCCTTCCAGGAACCTCGTTTGGAGCCGAGATAAATGTTGGGGTCAGATCCATTCAAGGTGATTAGTTTCTTTCGGCACGACGTACGCCATCAAGGGCAAATGCCATTAATGGCAAAGAGCAAATCGTATTAAAGGGGATTAAATGAGGCATTCGGCGTCTATCAGTAGTTTTCCCGAGGAGCGCTCTCTACTTGATTTTTGTTGAAATTATATCGTCATTTGAGCGTGGTTTTTTTGGGTGCTCATAACGGTCTGACGATCAATAAAAGACACGCACAAGTAACCCGTAGGTGCTGTTTTAGCGCTTAACCGAGTTCAGAGGAACGAAAGACTCGCATGGTCTGGGGACGATTCAAACCGAGGTTTGGCCACGGAGAAGGCGTGCGGGAGCAGAGACCTTGTCCTGATTGAACCTCTGCCCACTGTTGATAGCAATAGATGTGTAATTGGGATGGGTTCCATAAGCCCTCTTACAGGATGAATCGGTTCCTATTGTGAACCCCTTTGCTCAGTACCCAGAGAGCATTCATGTGACTAAAGCATGGACAGCCTGGAGAATCTCGAACTCCCAGAGTGAAAGAGGGAGGTTGCGGGGATGATAAGATCAGTCTACTTTCTCTAACGTCTTCGACAAACCGCTAAATTTGACTATTCTCCGTTAACCTACTTCTTTGCCATCGATCGTTTGCGTTCCTATATCTTCTAATGTGCATCGAGCTCCCAATTTCTCCAGTCGTTCTCTGAAAAGCGATTTTCTTCTGATATTCGTTTTGTTCATGGAGGTTTTCACGTGCACAGTTTTTCCAAAGTAAAAGAATGAGTAAACGAACTTAGCCCAATGTGTCATTTTGATCGTCTCTTCTCGCTGAACTGGATCCCCGGAAATGCTCTTGATGGCGACCGCTTCGGCCAGAACCGATTTGTAGTGGTCGTAGGAGGCATCGATATCTCTGAGAGATGATATGGTACAATTAAGCAGCTTAATCAACTTATAATGGTCCTTTTTGAAAAAAAAAAGGATTTTGGGAACGGCTCTATGTCAAAATAGTAGCAATCGTAGCTGGGGGGGGGGGGTCATTTACACTACGCCCTTTATGCCCCCATCCAAAGAGACTTGTGTGAGAATTTATTCTTTTCAGTTTGATAGAAGATACTAAAAAACTTTGGTGGTGATTTTATTTGAATACCTTGAATTTAGCAATTACGCAATCAAACACTTGAACAACAAATAGTAGACGCGCTCCTGTGACTCAGACAAGCTTCACCGACTTCCTGGACTTCCTCAAGGCCTATCATAAAAAGGAGGGAAGGAGCAGCAGCCGAGGAACTCTCCACTTCTTGTATGGTTCACGAATGAGATTTTAGTCGGCCAAACATCACAACTTTGAGAAAATCTAACGGCGAGCTCGCACGGTAACAAACAAACGACGGCCTGAACATCGACTGAGCCCCTGAGACGATGCACAGTGAAATCCCCAACATAACAGAAGCACAAATATCATTTTCAACCACCGCTAGGCGTTTATTTAGGGTTTAATGCTGACAGGTAGGGCGATAAACCCATCAAGACCTACAACAAGACTTCAAAAAGGGAGAACACAGTCGTTGTGGTTCGCCACACGAGCTGTAGGCTGAGTCATTCGTTTCGTGCCCATCATCGATCGGACTTTTTGTTCCCTCCACAGCCCCGAAAAATGGAATTGTTATCCGTTGTTCCGTGTTCATGAGTGGCAAAGATGCGTCCGGCCCGTAGTTTATAATTAGTTGTTTAAGTGGAGTAGGAGGAATGCGAAACTTCTCAAACTGATCCTGACCTGAGACTTGCCGTGCAGTGGCACGTTGCGAGATGGATGGCCCTTATCCCATAAAGTGGAATCGCCGTTGGGCTTGGTGATTCAGACCGATAAGCCGCACAAGATCGCCGCGAAGTTTTCGCGGGTTTGTTTGTGTTCACTGATGACCAACAAATACATTTTCGTGCGCCTGTGCTGAAGAAGGAGACCGTTACTGCTGGGCTCCAACAGTTGGAGGGGAAGACAAGACTTCGGAGCAGTCATTTAACATTTCAATCCCGACATCAGATTGAGTCGGGAAGAATCTGCTTGACAGAGAGGAAGCCAGTGTTTTTTTTGACGGTGTGTTTGGAACATTCACCAAACGGAAAGGAAATTGAGTTTGAAATCTTTTTCAGTTGTAGATGGTGAGACCCCGGACCTACAGAACTGTATGTGGGTTGCCAGAGAACGTGCCTTTTCGACCAAGAGTTAAATCTCCAGTAGGACATTATATCCTCGGATTTCGGGCGACGAGACGAAATCAAGTACACGCACACCATAAGGGGCGACTGCCAAGGAGAAAAAGCCGCTTCTCGTTTGGCCGTCGTCTCTTATGATGTGTGGTCTGTACTCGATCTTCTTCTCGTCTTCCGAAATAGAGTATACACACACTAGTACTGTCCCCGTACATTGTGATAGCGCCATTATTATATTTATTCATTTCCTTGATGCTCAAAAGCGTGCCACATTTGGTAAGAAAAGTTTATAGTCACCTCCTTCCTAAGCATCTTTCTTTTTTTGGTTTCTATTTTCGTCCTTCTGGTTATATTATACTACCAGCACAGTTTCCCAACTTTTCTTACCAGTTGTGGCACGCCTTTGATTGCGTGAGGAACAAACGAATAAATATATAAATGGCGCTATCGCAATATACGGGGGCATCCTCTGAGGATAAGCTAGGAGGGAGCAGGAACAACCGGGCCAAAACGAAACATGGTCTCACGCAACCATAGGGAGTCGGGTGCTCTGTCGCGGCGTGGGGCCTAAAGCTGAGCGTCCCATTTTCAAGCCAAAACGAAATGTTTTTAAGCGGGGTTTGAGATGCGACTGGCACCACAGGCGCCTTATCGTGGCGGAGTAGGGCCAAGCTAATATAAATAAAGATGCGCATGTATACTTACGAATTTGAACGATCTTATTTCGTACAGGGGTTGTATAGGACTGAGTCTTACATCGAATATGAACCACATTTTCTTCATAATTCCGGATACGGGTTTTCCTGGAACGTTAGGGGCTCCTTTAGGTAGATTAACTGTCAAAACTGTGGACCGATCTTATGCCTTCCAGGCCAGCACAACTCCCCACAATTTGATGCTTTTTCATTACTTCTGGGTAAGCATTTTTGCAAAGACCTATACTCGTTTTTTTCTGTAACGTCTAGTAATTTAGTAAATTCTATGCCACAAATCCATCAACATGTGTTGTGACACTAGACGGATTGCTAAGTTGCCGATTCCAAATCGGTTCTAATCTGCGCTGATCGCCCTAAGACGCTTAGCTGGAAAAAAACATCCACTTCCCGGAACTTCCATTAAAGCGCTTCTCCGTAAACTCTCATTTTCAAAA